TTAATGAATTTCTTCTTCAGGGATAACTGCTGAGGACAGGCTGCAGGGAGTGTGGCCAAGGGAGCAACTGAAGTCAGGTGGAAGTTATTCAGGGAGCTGACCACTGACAGACTGTGAAGTCCTAGCAGAGGAGAGTTTTAAATAACGCATGCTATGAAGATCTCTCGAGCGCTAGAAAGGGCAGTCGTTTCTTCAGCATCTTACATTGTGTTTTTGCAAACCTGTCATTCATTTGTTCTTTTGAGAATAATCAGGCAGTAGAGCTCAAAAGTAGCTTTCGTTCCTCTGACAAATGCTTTCTATGCTGAGGACCCAAAAAACGGATGGATAGAGGAAGCCAGTGTTAGTGCTGAATGGCCAGAGATGGACAGGAGTGTTCTAGTACTTGCAGAGGCAGAGGGAAAACTGTCCCAATTTCTTTAGCTGTCACTCAGGGGAGGAAATTCACCCAGCAAATCCTTTGTAGCACTGATGGTGTTTTGGAGCTGCCTAGACTACCAAGTTTACAGCACCAACAAGAATTACACTGTATCTTGTACCTGCACTTCTCCAAATAAATTCAGGAAGAAGGGGAAGGTGTTGATTTTTCTTCTGTGTGGTAAGTCAAAGTGGAGGCTGTTCCATAAAGCAACACAGACTGCAAAGCAATACCTATGATAAAGAGGGTATCTTTTGGTATCACCATAGTTTCTAGGCTTTTTCTGAAAGCAACTGTCGCTTTTCTTTTTGTCTTACTTGTAAATACAATGTGCTGCTTCTCTCAAGACGTGTAGAGCATCAGTGTTCTGTACCGCTGCTTCCATGTTCACAGTTGTGAATCTTTTCCTTCAGTGACTGCTGTCCTTGAGCTGCAAAACAGGAGAAAGTAAGAGCAAGTCTCAAACCTAAAAATTTAGTTTTGTTTTGTTTTGTTTTCCTTTTGGATAGGGCAAAAAACCCCCATCCTTAATAGAAATAGAATGTTATGGTATAATATGGTTAACACCTTCTATTGAGAAGGAGAATTAATTAGGAAGGAGTTGGAGCCCTCTGCCTGACAGATTCATGATCCATGAAGCTAATGAGTTTTGGAGCCTGTTGTTGTGTTTGCTGTGGACTGGTCAGCAGTTGAATCCCATGCTGGGGAAGGAGACATTTGCAGCTTGTCACATTTTCCCTGTTGTGCCAGTGTGGAACAAGAACATGATGCTAGCTTATTTCTACATCTGAAAAGTTACTATTACACGTAGCATTAGCTGCAGAGCCTCAGTGGTTTTCTGGAGAGAGAAATCAGGCACTGAACTAGCCACTGAATTTAGTGATTTAGCTGTTGTAAATAGTCTGTGCCTACAGCAGTCACAGCAGCATTTAGGTACTAAAAGGTAACCACGTATGTAGGATTACTCTGAGCCTTCGGTTTAACTGGGTTCAAAATACACATTGACCTGATGATTAAAAGTAGTATTTGTTAGCATTAACGAGCAAGGATTCAATAATCTTTTAAATATTTATCTTTGTTCTTTCATCGATCATGTACCCAAAGAAGTGCTGTTCAGCCTGTTCCCCTGCTGTGGCTCTAAAACATGAACACAGACCATCCTGCAGCTTTCAAGTTACGGTGCATGTTGGGTTTTTTTTTCTGATAGAACTGCAAAGGAGATTTCCTAATGCCCAGCAATTTCATCAAGTTTGTGAAGGAAGAAACCCACAGTCATCTCCATCCCAGTGGTTCATTGGAAAAACATATCTTGTATTAAGTACTTTAAAGATTCATGAAGCAGCTTTAATTTTGTTTGCATTTCTTCCTGAAGGGTAGAACTGTCAGAAATCTCTAAGTGCATCGCCTAATCCATTTCCAAACTCAGTATATTAAGGTCTGCAAGCAAAACTCATTTTTGGCGTTTTACAAGTATGCAGAGAGGAGAGAAGGCAGGAGAAAGAGAGCAGAAAAGATTTTTCTTTCCTTGGTAATGCACTGAACTACCTGCATGGCTGTAGTGCCAGTTCTTCACAAAAAATAGTGCAACTCAAATGGGTCGTGAGACCAGCTCTGATAAATAGAGGACTTCACATGTTTCTGTTGGATCAGATACAAATAGAGTAAATATTGCTATCAAGGAATGAACCTTCAGACCAAAGAAAATTTCTTTCCCTTTATTGCCTACAAGCTCACAGAGCTGCCATGAGCATGCTCATGTGCAGCTGAGAAACTTTTGTTTTGTCATTGTCCCAGTTTCTGATCTATGACCTTTTTTATGTTCATGATTTTTTTTCCCCAAGGTTCTGATCTGCCAGCAGAAGAAACTTTCCTGTTTTCTTATGCCTGCATAGACAGTGCTCACAGCTGGGCTCAGCGGGCTGGCTGGGAAATGTTCATTTAAGGAATCGGTTCAATGCAAAAGTGAAAATCATCTCCAGAGTAGAGAAAAATGATCTGACATCAAGCTCTCTGTCACGTACAAAGGAAGCACCTCTGGGTTGCCAGCCAAGCTCTGCAGCAGCCAATACAGTGCAAGAACACTCAAAGACTTTTCCCAAGGCAGCAGCAGGATGCCCCGGGTCTGACGCTTGGCATGTTGTACGAAAGGTGCCTGAAGGGCTGCTTCACATATCAGGTCGAATCCATCCTCAGCTAGTCCATGGAAATGATTAGCCATGGCATCGTCAGCCTTTTCTTGGAATCACTAGTTGTGAATGCACCCAGCAGTGTGTTTCTGTACCGCGTGCCTTTCTGCCCTGGAGAGGGGCACTGCTTCTCATGCAGACCTGAAGTCCTTTGCTGGTTATACACTGTGAGACCTGATGACAGTTTGTAATAGTAGCTTAGAATCACAGTTATATTAGACGTGAGCTATGCCTGGTCAGCACTGACCATCGTTAGCTACCACAGAGGTCAAATGTATGCTCTAAATTCTTCCCAAACTCAGTAGTGTTATATGTTAATGAGGCCAAGATTGGCTCATCAATTACTGTAATTGTTCTCCGTCACCCAGTTGCCACAGTTCATAACGTGATCAGACCTAGTGCAGAGAAACGAGTATGGTGGTACCCAGCTGCCTTCCCTGGCAGGCTGCTGGGCACAGTGCTGGTGCTGCCGGCACCCCGGGCAGGGCAGGAGGGGCCGCCTTGAACACCCAGGGACTTCACTGCACAGTACCGGGGCTGCCAGAAATGGATGAGTTCTGAATTTCTTACCAAAGTCCTTTTGGTGGTAAGGTTGAGGCAAATAAAGGCTTGCCTTACTAGGACACCTCCATATGGTTTGATGTCTTCACCTTCTGGTTACTTTTCATCTCAAAAGAAATAATAAAAGTGCCTAGTCTTGTGTTAAGCTTCTCCATTGTTAGCTTGTAGATTTCTTGCCTGATGCTTTCCCTCCATCTCCAGGCTGCTGCTCCAGCCACTTTCTGAGAGCATGCCCTATGCCTTATTGAAAGTCAATAGGCTTGTTACAGCCTTCCGTTTTCCTGAGACTTCTCTGGAATGAACCCTCTCCTGCTGCCATGCTCCAGGGCCAAAATCAAGGTCTACACCAAGGAGAGGACTTCACGTGTCCCCCTGACACTCTGACTTTCTCAGCCTTGTATACAGGCACAAGTGACTGATGTGTCATTGCAATGCACTTGGTCTGTTATCAACATCTGGGCAGTTGTGCTTTGACGGTAGCTCATTCTTGTATGTGACTTGCTAATGTCACTGTTTGGCTCTGAGTGTCAATTGCTGGTTAGAGTTTCTTGGAATGAAGAAAGTATTAACTGTAAATTGCTGTGGCTGGTATCTAATTACAGAATACATTGGGAAGCACTTAGGCGACAATCCAATAAAGCACTTAAGCCCCCACTGATTTTTAAGGAAAGGCCCCTTGACTGGGATTGCTCCTGCTCTCAGACATCGTCAGAAGTGTTTGTTAGCAGACCAGTACTTTCACCCAAGTACCTCAGCACATCCATGTAATTTTCTGAAGTGATTTAAGGAGTTGGGAGTTCTGTTACCCAACAGTCAAGTGCTTGTCCCCATCCCCATGACTGCTGATCGGGGGCGGGGTGGAAGGGGGGGAGTGATTGTTAAGCCAAAGTAATGAGCAAAGAGGTCAGAAAGTTTGATAAGAGCAGGAAAAGTGATTTAATGTGATATCATTAGCAGTATTTTAGAGAGCAGGTTCAGTAATACCATAGCAATTCTGAATGGCTTTTGCCTGTGAGAACACATAGGTAATTTTCTGAAGTTATCATCTTTGCTAGTGGGAGAGAATTCCACTAAAACAAGGCAGTATGGTGCTACAGAGGGGCATGGGCTGGGGGCTTGGGAAGCAAGAGGCTCTGCTCTGTGCTATGTGACTTCTCCAGGCCTTTTTTTTTTTTTTTTTCTCAAAATGGTCTATGATAACATATATGCATCAGTGAGCAAGCAGGAAGGAAATTGTGAATCTCAGGATGTAGCTGCCTACCAAGGTGATGTCTCAGATGCAGCAGATCTGCTTTGCAAATATTTCAGCAAGTATATGCCTGTACAACAAACATCATCTGTTTGCTACTGCTGCACAAACTGTAAAACCAGAAAGGGTGGCAAGGGCTCCTTGAATGGGCAAATGCAAAATCTGCTTGAGTAGGTCCTTGTTTTCAAAGTATGACATCTAATTACGAGTTGACAACAGACCTTCTGACAGTTCCCCTGGGAGCACAGACAAGCTATAGTATTGTGGACTTATCCAGGTTGTTTTTGAGCAAAGTCAGTGATATTCCTTTGGTTTTGCAGAGATGCTTTTAACCTTCCAGAGAATGAGAGCTGCTACAAGTCTGTGTGCATGCAGATACACTTTGGTTTTCCCTGAGCTGATGGAAAGTTTGTTCCTCCAAGCTACGTTGCTTCTTTTGGGCTTTTACTGTATCGTTCTTTGGGGTTAGAAAAAACAGAGCCTGCAAGTCCCTACATTCTGGAGAGCAATGAGGAGAGGACACTCCTCTGTGTATTTTACCTCCCAGTGGCTACTGGGGTTTTAATTCTTTCTTTCTTCTCTCCAGGTGCAAACAGATGACATACCCAGATGACCTGCCCCAGATCTCTGTGGTCTTTATATTTGTCAACGAGGCACTCTCCGTCATCCTGCGCTCTGTGCACAGCGTCGTGAATCACACCCCATCCCACTTGCTCAAAGAGATCGTTCTGGTGGATGACAACAGTGACAATGGTGAATATATGTAACTTTTCCTCTAAGTACCGTATCCTGTGTGGTTAATGGACATGAAATAAAAATCAAACTGAGTTTGGCCACTACTAGCTGAATGTTTTTTTTAATTTTTTTTTTTTTTTTTTTTTTCATGCTGGGATGAAACAGCCAAGGGAGGAAGGTAGCACATGCAACCACTGATTATAGCTAATAAGCTAGATCATAAGCTGGTGTAAATTAACATACTGTTGTTGAAGTCAGTAGAATTTACAAGAGTTTGTGTTTGTTGATGAGAAGGTTGATTGAGCTGCTTGCACAAAGCTGTGAGTAAATATTACCTATTTTTGTATAAAAAAACAGGCATTATGTGGATAAACCCTGCTGATTTCATTGAAATCCTCCCAGGACGAATGACATTTAGATAGGCAATCTTAATGCAGAAATGACAATTTTCTCCAAATCTTCAGATCCAAAAGAATATCATAATTATTAGACTAAAAGTTTACATTCTGTTTCCAAGGAAAGGTGAGGCTACAGATTCTCCTTAGGGATAGTTTCTACTCTTCTTCATGGCAGCACACTCTGCTTCTTTGTTATTTAAAGAGGTTTTGAAAGTATCAGATTTTGAGTCTGATATTTTTTTGAGGCAGGGAGTAAAATCAGACTGTGAGAATGAAACAGAATGGGCACAAAGGACATGTAATTTTCAGGTTATCTGGTTCATTAATGTGAAAATGACACTTCTGTTACATCAATCAAAACTCAAACTATTGGTGAGCATATAAGGTGCTATTGATCAGTATGCAGGTTTGAAGAACTTTTAGGATAGAGGTGATGAGCAGTGTTGTTGTGTTTTAAGTTGTTATACCTTAGACTCCTAGAACTGTTGCAGATTCTCAAATCACATTTGTTAAAATAAGGCTTAAGTTTAGCATTTCCTTCACAGATCACCAGTTTTAAATCTTTCAGTTTTAAGTTGCTGTTCTTCTTCAAGATCCCTGAAGAGAAATTAAGGTTGAGAGAACAAGTCACTAGAATAAAAATAAGTTCCAAAGCCTGTAGATCTAAGAAACCTTTTGTGCAATTTTGCTTTTAGTTATGGCAGTGTGACCCATGGAATGATTATGTGAGATTGCAAAGGGTTTGAGTAAATGTAATACAGAGGAGAACTGGACTCATTGTTTCTCAGGGAACTTTTATATGGTTTTTCTGTCATTCTCTGATAACTGGAAATTTATCAGGTCTTTGATTCCAACGATAATGATTCTGCTGTGTAATATAGATCAGAAGAATGAGGCTTCTAATGTCCTGGAAGCTTCTACTAGTTTTTCTAATAAATATATTTGAGTAAAATCCTCATTATGAATAAGTTGCTGAATAAATGAGTTACCAAACTAGATTGATTATTAAAAAAATACAGAGACCATTTTGGTAATCTGCCCGTTTTATAAGTCTTTTGAAATGAAGCTGAACAAAGGCGTGACTGAATTCTGCTCCATCCGTGGCTGAGTGCCTGACAATTAACAAAAGAGAAGTTGTCTATTTGAAATCTTTGATATCCATTTAGTTCAACGAGGCAGAAGCCTGGTATTGAGGAGTCTTAATTATATTTAAGGGAAAACCCTTAAAATTTAGGGAAATTAATTCTGATCTGAATTAGGTCTTGACCCAAAATCCATAGAGGTTATTTTTCAAACTCTTACTGAATAGCATAGATCAGAAAAAAAAAAAAAAAAATCACTAGTCTTCCATGTTACACTGCTGTGAGGTCAGAATTGCTCCTCCAGAGGCCAGTTGTAACCTAACACAAATTATCAGAGAATTAGAATAGTAATTATTTAAAAATATTTAGACAAACTACCTCTTCAAAACAATACTCAAATCTATCAGGACATAATAAGTCTGTGCAAGTCTAACAATGACTGCTCTGATGCACAGAGAATTTCTCTGAGCTGACACCCCTGGAGCTGGTCCATGCCACAACTGCAGTACTTGGTGTGTCTCTGCCAGACTGACTAAGGGTTTAGGAATATTGAAGGATTTATTTCCCTTTCTCTTGCAGAATAAATCAAAGTAAAACATAATGTTGCAGAGCTTTTCTCATTCTGAATATTTACGTGTTTTCTTTATCCTGCAGTTGAGCTAAAATTTAATCTGGACCAGTATGTCCATAAGAGATACCCGGGTCTGGTGAAAATAGTGCGCAATAACAAACGAGAAGGACTGATTCGAGCCAGAATCCAAGGCTGGAAAGCAGCAACCTCTCCTGTCGTCGGATTCTTCGATGCTCACGTTGAATTCAACATTGGCTGGTAAGTTGCTGGCTGTCCCCACAGGGAGCGCAGGACTGTCACACTGTGCCCTGTGTTTTAAAGGCTGTGAAAGAGATCTGCTCAGCAACAGGGGACCTGAAAAACCGTAGGGATGAGATGGCTGTAGGCTGCTGTTATCACACTAGCAATTACATTTGAATGATATTCTTGATTATTGCAACATTGCTGACAATCTTCCACAATGTATGGCTGCAAGACCCATAAAAAAAGCTGTTTTGCCTGCTCTACTACAGCTCAGTGGAGAGAGAAGTCATTTAAACCACAATGAACAGGAAACCTCCAAAGCAGTCAAAAGGGGAGACACCATTAAGGAGGCTCTGGGCTGGAGGCAGATGCATGCTTTCAAGTCCATTTATTTTACCTTCTTGTCATTTGCTACCATTTCTTCTTAGAAACTTGAATACCAATTTCATTTCCTCATAATTTTTCTTACATTTGTATTTGATGGAAACCTTGAATTATTCCTTGCGTTTTTAATGGGTTTGAAATTAGCACAGCTTTCCTCATCCCCTTTGTTTTGCAAGGAAGCAGTACTGACTGTGGCAAACACAGTTTTGGGCTTAATGGGCCAGATCTGCAGTGGGAGTAAATCTTTGTAGCACCATTCAGTGGCAAATATTCAGTATTACTGGAAGCCAGGACTGAAGGAACTGAGATGTACAGTCAGCTGAAAAAGGGCTGCTGGGACCTTCAGTATGTAAAATGTGTATTTTCCAGAGATGTTCTGGTATTTGGTAATGATGATGTAGGGTTATGGTGGAGCTGATTATGCTCTGCAGTTCTGGGAGATAGCCCCAAATTAAAACTAAAAATAGCTGCACTCACAACCAGAGAGAAACTTAATTGCAAAGGAGTGGAGTGTTTATTTTTATATGTTCATGAATATCTTTCTAAAATGGAAGATGCAATAAAATAAGTCTTGTAGTGCACCTGGTTTGTGTTCATCCCCATTTTTTTCCCCAGGACTATGAAAAACTATAAGAGCAGTTGTAGTAATTTTCTAGAAGCTTAAGAGCTGGTTTAATTTATTTATATACTTTTAAAGCAACTAGATATTACAAATCATTGCAAGTGTTCATGTAGGGTAATATCAGCTACTGGGCAGAACCAGCGACTGGGGAGAGCATGCTCTGGGTGCTATTCCCAGTGCTCGTCCTGCCTACGCCCCAGTTTTCTGACCTTTGCGGAGAATTTTGTTATCATTTCTACAAAGGACATTGAGATCTTACTGATATTCTACACAGAGAAGCTAGGCAGTGGTGCCAGTAAGCAGGAAAGGGATTGGTGTTTGGGTTTTTTAATCACTATTCCTTTACATTAATGTCCGAAAGGGTTAAAATCAGCAGTGGCCAGTAAATGAGTGTGTGTATATCCGAGATAAAAAGTGTTTGTATTTACTGTATCCTCCCTGGTGTACTCTGCTGTCAACAAGTGTGCTTGAGTCTCAGCAATACTGCTGAGCCAGTCTGTGCAGCTGCTTTGGGACCACTTGGCTTCTGGAGTGGCCGCAGAGGATGAATAAGGATAGCTAGCAAGCGTGCACCAGAAACATCACGTACCCCTTTGTTCCAGAGCTGCACGTGGAGACTCGGAGTGTTTCCTTCTGGTGTTTCTCCTGGTGTTCCCCTCAGCCTCTGGAGCTGCTGACAGCCATCTCAGACCTTGTTCTACGTGTGTCCTCCTGGTTTTAATTCTGTCCACCTGTGCACGTGTAGTTGCCTGTCATCTCAGTTTTCATCTCATCTTCTTTCACTAGGAGGGTCTGGAAGTTCTTCCACCTGGATTACTTTATTTTTTCCCACCAGGTTAACATTAGCCCTGCTCCATAACCCCGTGAATGTGGTAGTCGTGCGCGAGTGTCTTGTTAAAGTACTGCTGTTCTGCTCTCCAAAGTCTCATCTTGCATGAATATTTCCTCCTATTTGCAGTGTATATTCGTGCATTTAGAGGCCACATGGATTGCTCCCACTCAAAGCCATCTATGGATTATTTGTGAGGCAATTAAAAAGCAGCCAGTTCCTTTACCACAGAAAAGAGCATTAGCTTTCTGTTTGGTTGAGTCAAGTACCTGCAGCGCAATTGTAGTCTTCCAGTCTACAGCTGCTTTACCTGCCTAATCACTTGGTAGATTAATTCATAAAGAATCATTTTCTCATGAAATATGCAGGATTCTGACAACAAAAAAACTTTTTTTAAAACAGTAGTTGCCCAGTTTATGGGTGAGCTTTTTCCTTATATCACACTATAGCATTTTACAGGCTCTCACAGCATTGCTCTCCTGGGACACTTCTTCTGAACTCAAATGCAATCTGGTAGGATATAAAATAAATACTCTACAACCTGGTGGGTCAAATGAACTCCTGAATTATTTATTTTGCTGTGCTTAATTGCTGCTCTTTTGCTTCTCAGGTGTTGAAATGTATTAGCGCAGAGTAGAGATTTTCTACTGACCTGTTCCCCTTAAGGCTTTTTATACCGTGAGCCAATACCGCTGCCGTGAGAGCAAAAGTGGAGTGGACTAGCTGAAAGGGAGGCCATTACTATTAATTCTCAAATGGTGTTTAAGATTACATTATAATGTATGTGTACTGTTCATAAGTAAAATTCTACCTTTCCCGCAGTAGAACCCTGTCGGTTTTAATGCTTACTTAATGTCAATAGGAGTCAGCATCTAGAGGCAGCAGCCCAGCAGAACCCAGAGGTATGAACAGCTCCTGTGCATTCCCCTCTGAGGGTATATTTTAGCTTGTATAGTTCAGTTTTGCCTTCAGTCCTCTGAAGAGCTCAGCATTCCTTCTCTGGTTTGTGTATGAAATCTGCCCACTGTGCGTTAAACACACAGTAATGCTGAGTAGAGACCATCGCATCCTGGCTGCTTATTGTGTTGCAGAAGATGTAGAGTGTTATACAGAGTCCTGTCTTTGAGAGCTGGGAAAGATGAACACTACAAGGAGAAGAGAACTTCACTACTGGAGTTATAACTGGGAGCAGGAAAGAGAGATAGCAGAGATGGAGTGTTAATTCTCTGGGTAAGAAAAAGGACATATTGAGTGAAGGAGAGCAGAAATCAATAAGTGAAAGGCAGAGACCACAATATATTAGCAGCCGTAAAGAGGGTGCTAGGAGCCATAAAGAAGACATAATGATAGAGTATTATACTGGCATTCTATCTTAGGAATTGCTTTTGCTCCTCTCCCAGAGGTAGTACTGGTGCACTGAATGGAGTTGTGCAGTACTGTGGTAATTAAAATTTTGCCAGACAAAGGGGGAGTATCAATAAGGAAGCAGTGGAGTAAGAGGATTTCATCAAAAGATTTCAGTGTACCGGAGAGACGGAGACAGACTGCCACGAGAAAGAGGACTTGAAATATAAGCCGAGTATCCAACAGACTGTGCCACACACAGCCCATCGTTATGGATTATCCCTGAAGTTGGCAGTGTTTTAAAAATACAGAAAACTGGCATTTTAATGAACTGGGAAGAAGACGTAAAGATCAAGATCCCCAGGTCTGTGGGTAATACTTTGCAGATGCTATTCTATACTGTAAGATGTAGTGCAGTTTGCTATAGTGGCCATAAGCAATGGATTCTTGAGAAAATGTGTAAAGGAAAAAGGAACTTGATTTAATCCTAATCTTCTACTTGTTTTGGTTATCCCAAGCACTCTGTAACAGAGACATGGTTATGCTTTTCGTAGGGCAAAGCCACACTTGTTAATATTTTCAGGCAATGTACTGGAAGCCAAACTCTACCAGCAGGTAAACTCCCAGTCCCTGCTTTTCAAGCTCCGGTGGCTCTTCAGGGACCTGCAATGTCCAGGTGGCTCTTTCCTTCTAGTGAGAGAAGTGCTGAAGGCAAGAGTAAAATAACATTTGCAGTCCTTCCCCTCCGGAGGGTTCACACCTATCGCTCCTGCTCAGGACATGGTTCATTGCAGCATCCCTGGTACCAGGCTGAGTTTGACCAGGGAAATTTTGTTTATGCAAATGCAAAGGAAAGGATATGTGTTTATTAAGGGAGGTTTTTTCATCCAATGCCTCTACCATCATTTAGGTAACTTAATGGAATGCATATTTTAGATAGCAAAAGTGAACTAATATCTGAGTGAAGAGGGCAGCGTGCATCGTAAGCCATGTGAGCTTTTCAGATTCATGGGACGGTGCCAGCTTACATACAGAGGACATGCCAGAAAAGCAGCTTCAACTATTCATCTACCTAAACAACCTAAAGTGTTCGATGAAGCATCGTCATTGCTTTTCAGTGGTGCAGAAAAGCGCTATTCAGATTTGGCAGCCAAAGAGCTGATCTTTAACTCTCCAGCAGGCGTTTCTGCTGCGTTCGCTCCATTCTGGCTGGGGGCTGCAGGTCTGAAACCTCCCCGGGCAAGCAGGAAT